GTGAACACGAACCGTTTGGGGTAACCATGCAATAGGTTCGTCAGCGGCTGCATGAGCGTAGCGCATTGCGAGATGAAGCGTCAATAGAAATTAATGAGGCCGTGGAATCGTCGGAGCTGTTTTAAAGACGTTGGTTCCGGGTACTGCGAAATGGCGAGCACCTTATCTTGCAGTCGTGCAACGCCGGATTCGGAGATACGGTGACCTAAAAGGTGACGCTGGATTCGCCGAAGGAGCATTTTGCGGCGCTGATGGTAACACCGTGTTGACGGAGACGCGTAAAGAGAGCGCGCAGATATTGTTCGTGCTCCTCGGGAGTGGCGCTGGCTACTACAACATCATCGGGGTAGGCGAAAGTATTGTCTAAACCTTGACAAACCTGGTCGATGAAACGTTGAAACGTTTGAGCAGCGTTGCGCAGACCAGTGGGTATGCACAAGAACTGAAAAAGAACAAATGATGTGGTAACCGCGGTCTTGGGAACATCCTCCGGGTGTACGAGAATCTGGTGATACGCGCGCACAAGGTCGATTTTACTAAATACCCTACAACCCCCTAGACTAGCAGTCAAATCTTGGATGGGAAGGATTGGGTAGCGATCTGGGGGTACTGACGCTGTTAAGCAAGCGGTAATCACCACGAGGCCGCCAGTCGCCAGAGGGCTTTTTGGGGACCATATGTAATGGTGAAGCCCAAAGGCTGGAGGATGGGCGTATGATGCTGAGATCCAGCATGTGCTGAAATTCAGCACGGGACTTTTGGGGCTTGTCTGGGGCGAGGCGTCTAGGGCGGCAATAAGTTAATGGGCCGCGCGTTACGATATGATGAACGATGTCGGTGGTCGCCAGAGGTAGAGTATCCGGCGGTTTACACAATTCGGAGAGAACCGCACGGAATCTGTCTGTGACGTCTGGAAAGTAAAGAAGCGAGCTAAGCGACGGAACATTTGCAGGTGTCCCGCGAGTCTCACATATGGTGAGACGGTAGATAAGCTTGTGGCTCACCGGGTCAACCAACAGGTTGAAGGCTCGAAGAAAGTCAATACCGATGATGGGCTGTGGAAGGTCGGCGATTACAAATACCCAGGGTAAACTACGGCGAATACCGAGGTTCAGTGTGAGTGAACGCTCACCGTAGGTTTTGATGGGCGTGCTATTCGCTGCGACCAGTTCCACAGAAGAATGTCGATGAAGGTCAGTGGGGCGAGGACGAATGACACTGACCTGCGCGCCTGTGTCGACCAGGAAACGTATCCCGGTAATTCGGTCTGTGATGAAAAACAAGCGACTTGGTTGTGGTAACTATTGTGGACACAATAGTTACCTGAGCCGGTCGGCTGACTGGTTTCCCGACCTGGGAGTGTAGGTGCACGGTGTGAGGCACCTCTTTGTGGCGTCACCGTATCGGCAGTGATACCAGCAAATCCCGTTCGACGGTGATCGAGATCGTGGCGCCGAAAACTGCGGCCCCTATGGTTGGAGCGCGTGCGACATCGTTGTCGGGGTCGGTCGCGTGATAAGGTTAACGCCTGAACCTGCGCGACTAACGTAGTTACGCAAGCTACAAGTTCGGCGTTGTCGCAGGAGGGCGGTGGGTGCGCTGGTTGGGTGAGGGATTGGACTGTCAACTGGTCGGCATACACCGTCAGCCATTTCGGCGAGTTCCATTAACGTATACCGTTGTCCGAAATACTGCAGGATCGACAACAAGCTCTTTGGTAGAGCTTGTAACCAGGACAAACGGAGAATATTCTCATCGACGTTCAGGATTGCGGCCTGGCCCTGCATGTAACTTAAAAGTTTTGTTGGAGTGTCAAGGCCGTTGTCTCCCAGACGCAGGCTACCTAGAAGTTGTTTAAGGCGACATTCTACGGGCATGCCGAATCTGCCCAGAATCGCATCGTGAAGGGCGTCGTGAGGTTGGTCTGAGGGTGGGTTACAGACAATGTCGCGTAGCTCTGGGGCCATAGATCTGGGAAGGTAACCAACTAAATGAGTGAACTTGGATAATTGATTGGTTAACCTAGCAATCAATCTAGCAAACTGGGTCTCGACCTGGGCCAGCGAAAATTCTGGGTCTTCCGGGATAAACACCGGTATACGCACTTGTAGACCAAACACGCTCGTCTCCTCCGGTGCTGCGCTGGCACTATTCTCTTTTCCCTCGGGAAATTGTTGAAACATGTTACAGGTGAGAAATCAAGTAAATAAATAAATTGATAATATGATGCCCGAATAAACGTAGATCTAAGTTTATTGGTGCAGTATAAGCCGATGATGAAAATGAAAATACTGTCTACAAAACAGTGTCAAAATGCGAATACCGGGATAAGTATACGTATACGAATTTCTATAAAAATTCGAAAGCAAAAATTGGTTTAGCGGAAAAGAATAATAAATACCGTAAAACCGTTGAAAATAAATGAAAGAAATAACACCGGTATGCGTCAAAGACAAAAATTGTAAAAGAGAATGGCTGTGCGTGTGGACCAGACTCACTGAAAGCTTGCAGACCGTGGCGTACTAAAAA